TAAATTGTGGTAACCTGTTACAATGCTGGCCCCAAAAATATTCATGAACTTGTGTAAACAACCTCTAATTTGCTTTTCCCAAACCTAGACCTGAAGAAAGTCTGGTTGCTCCTGCTTTTGCAGTCTTGTGAGCACTAAGCTACTAGGTAAATTTGTCAACCCTGCTGCAAAGGCCACAAGGAAAGGAAGGGACTCTGGGACCACAGGAGTGTGCGTGCGTCCAGTCCCCAGGTGAAATGCACAGCCTCTGCGGGGATCACCAGCAAAACCAGACCTCACTGACTGAGCTCCATCCAGGACAGCAGGAAGAATGAGCAAAATGGCTGTTTTAACTAGTTCACTTTAGGATTGTTTGTTACGCAGGACTAGATAACTAGATGGTAATCTAGTTCCTCATATTTCTGAGTAATTTGTTCAAACGTCAAAGAATGGGAAGGTTATAAATATGGTCTACCAAATTCCCACAACCTCAGAAGATAAAGCCTACGATCTTGATGTCAAGAGGTTCTTCTAAATTTAGGTTTAAGAGCACAGGCTTTGTGTTTGTTGTCTCAAAATGGTACCCTAGCACCTAGCACAGTGTCTGGCATACAGTACGCACACCAGTATGTGTTACGAATGAACGCTAAATTTAAGAAATGTCAAGGCTAAATCAACAAATGTTAGTCTTCACTATGACTTAGCAACTGTCTGACATGGGTTTACATAACACACTCACAAAAAATCGTTTAAACACAAACTTTAAGCATATACTGAGTTTTAAATGGTGTACCTTTTTTAATGGTGAAGCTTGGTATGTGACAACAAAAATCATTGTATACACTTTGAAAAATACATATATGAACTCTGTAAAAGTAAATAACTTGATAAACACTTTGAAAATAATTCTAATGCATATGCCACAAAAATACAAATGTTCAAGGATAAGGATTTTATAAGAATCAAACTGCTCCTTGTAAACACACAATTAAAGTTTTAAAAATTTTAACAAAAAATTACACCTACATCTCACCAATGTATTGTTATCGACAAGAAGTCAACTTGTTTTATCCTTGACAAAAGTTTTAACTATTCTGTGATAAAATGCTTACAAATTTCAAAATTACCTACTGTTAGCCATTGGAATGAGAGAACCATCTTAACACAAAGAAAGAAACAGACAAGTTCAGACTCACATAGTACAACAGGTAACCATAATTCAAACAGGTACAGCTAGAAACTTCACATATAACTTAAGGCTGAAGTTCCATTGTAGGTAAAGAATCAGAAGTTGTGTAGGAAAAGAATATTGACCTAGGTACACAAATACAGGTTTCTGCTCTAATTTTAGCCATTACCTAGTCATATGCCCTGGAAATTTACTTTTCAAAATGTCTTTTGAGCCTCAAGATACTTATCAAAAAGTAATGATTACTTCCAGACCCACCTAATTCTCAGTTGTCATTAGAAACAAATCTAAAGTATCTATTACCATTACTTAAAAATCAAGAAGGTTATACAACCACAGGTTGGAAGATACTGTTCTTAATGTCAGCAGAAAGAGTAAAATTCATCTGTGCTTTTCTCAACATTTACTCCTCATTATATATTAGTAACTAGTTCCTTGGATACCACTTATAAAGAGCAATTTATAGGATTTTCCACTGTTCATTATAATTACATCATACTTTTATAACAAAGAGTACAAAAGACTCTAGTCTTTCTAATGACTGTGTTGTCAAAGTTTCTACAGCTATAAGAAAAACCAAGTAATAACATGTTCTGGTTCCCTACTACCACTGAGAAACTTGCAGGTGCAAACAAAAATCAACTGCTGATACAACTATGCTTCAACCATATTAGCAAATTAGTTACTTTACCTATTTTACAAAATTCATTGAATAGGATCCCCCATTTTATTTACTTTGCCAAGCTTTGATTTTTCATTGATGAAGGTCTCCTCAAGGAGACAGTATTCTTAAGCAAGATACACAGAAAGATAAAGATTCTTTTAAACAAATTTTTTGAGACAAGGTCTCAAAATTTAGACTGACCCATGAACTTACTATGTAGCTCATAATGATCTCAAACTCGGATCCTCCAGCTTCAGCCTCTTGAGGGCTAGGATTATAGGCATGTGCTATAGCCCCACATTAGGCTAAAAAGCTCTTAAAGCAGCTTATTCTACTTGTATTATTTCCATCCTCCCTGTCCCCATCTCAAATAGATACAAAGACAATAATAATAACTAGTTTGGTTTTACTATCTGCTTTCCATATACCCAATGTATTACTCAGATTCACCAGTTCTCATGCAAACAAAAAACAAGACAGGTACAGATATTCTAATGAAAATCTAAGATTCATCCATCACAAAATGGCAAGAACCAGAAGGACTCTCCTGAGATGATCTAGTATTTAACTGATGAAGTCACTTTGAGGCATTAACTGTATCCAACTCATGGTAAATCAGTTATATCATACAAGAAAGAAACCATCATTGCCTATGAACTCCTGATTCCAACTTTACCCACTTGCTGACTAATACTTCAGGGTAGTTACATAAACCCTTGGGCTAATCTGTCCTGTAACATCACAGCAAATAACATAAATTACGCAAAATTCTCTGCAAATTGTAAAGCACAACATGGGTGTAACCCTGTTCTTCAGATGCGTAGTGTGTTTCTACAGTAGGGTGCTTACTAGCTATTCAAGAACCTGAAGGTTCTATTATTTTAAAGTTTCCAGTAATTCTGAGATCTGTCCCCTAACCTAACTGACTCATGGACTTCATGGATGTACTTCAGGTGGTCCATGGATTCCCCTACGTTTATACCCACAGCACACATGAAAATTTTTCAAGTCAGCAGATTCCTGTCATTTCACCCAGGGTTGGTAACCTCAAAAAGGTTATAAAGTGACACACAGACTGTGGGGTAAAGCTTCCATGGATCTTACTCAAAATACAACCACTGGTCTTCCTTGATCAGAACTGGTTTATTTTTACTTTCTTCATTTTCCTGGTCATTAAATCCTGAATACTATCTTCCTCCTTTCCACTAGCATTACTACACAACTGGTTACCTATGACCACAATTATCAGGAGTCTTGTACCTCAAGGTTCCTTGATTTCAGTTTGCCCCATATGCTGCTACCACATTAAGCCTCGTAAAACAAAGTTTTTCAATTGTTTCACCCCCAACTCTAAAATCATTTGTGGAATCCTCACTGTGTATAAAACCAAGTCGTTACTCTAAAATTAAAGCCAATGCATTAGCTGGCCCAAATTTTTACTTTTACCATCTTTTATCTTAGCACTAACACTGCCACACCTCAACAGTTAAATTACTTGTTTATTCCCAAATGTGTAAACTCTAGTTAGATTCTTCTCCCTGCTCCCATCATCTTTTCCGGCTATCAAGTCAGTCATCTTTCAAATCCAAGAGTTTAAAAGCCAAAAGACCCATGAACCAACTCCTCAAACTCTACCTTGCCAAATACTGAGTTCCACACCCTCTGAACTTGAATTCTGTGAGGATTTTCCTGTTTGTGAAACTTAACCATCGGTCAAAAGACAAATGGAGAATTTCTCTATAATCCTCCTTCCCAAAGGCAGAAAACACTAATCATCCTCGCCTTTGTTGTAGACCCCAAATACCTGCCATGGTCAAGCAGTACTGTATTATGCTTACAGTAATTGTGTCAGGGAGTAAAAGAAATGTCAGCCATTCTGGGGTAAACAGCAAAGATTACTATCACTTTGAAGGAAGAAACCTCTGTGTCACATACTGTATCATTCCATGTTTCCAAAAAACCTAACTCTTAATCACGGTTTTTCAAAACATATTGTTTTAGGTCTTATAAACAGCTCTACACTTTATGGGAAAAACTATTTGAAAATGTTATTAAGCTATGTCTCTAAGAACTATTCCATATACACTACTTTAATCACAATTTCAGCAGCTGTTAACACTTAGACATTACACTTCCAATTTTTAAAAATGTTAACTATTTATTGAAAAATGGTGATTTCCAGCTAATCTACTACTTCATGGCTAAACACAAGCCCCCATAAATTAAAGAACGTGTTTTTTGGAAGGTGCATTTTGCTTGCATAATACACAAAGACTTGGTCAGACAGGTAAAGTGGGTTTATCCTTAAGTGTAAGTGAACTCTTACAAACCTGCAGAAAACTATAAATCAGTATTTCATATAAAAGAAATAAACGAGGTGGGAAATATCCGGACATTATCTTTTCCCACTACTAATACCAGCAGCATTTTAAAACAGGGATCTTGCTGCATACTCTCCTACATAAAAAAATGAAAAAAATTTTATAATAGGAAAAGAAAAACTCAAGCTCCTGGAATAAAAACATTTTTATCCTGGAAGAATAAAAATGTCTACGTTATAATAGCTACTCCTCTCCTTTGGTAATGAAGCCTTCATAGAATTACTGAAGCAAAGGAAACTCAACTCCCAATGGAGTAAAGCAAGGACTGCACAATCTTTGTGCACACAAAACTGGTTATCTGAAGGCTGTAAAAGCAATGGGACAAACTACAAAATCAGAATTTTAAAAGAAAATGAAAGGAGTCACAGATGAGGTGAGAGTCTACTGGTAACATCTGCAAGGTCACTGGGACCCAGCAGGTTACAAAAGGTGGAGGTGGGGGTGCTGCGGGGTCGGGAAAGAGCGGAGGGAGCAGAAGCGGGCGCAGAAAGCGCTGCTCTCGGGCCGGAGCGCGGGCTCGGTGCATTCGGGGTGAAAGTCAGGGCGCGGGGTGCTCTGACCAGGCGCTGGGGAAAGGCAGACCGCAGGCAGGGAGGGCTGAGGGAGCCGCGGAGCGCGGCTGCAGAGTCACGGAAACACTTCACCCGGTCCCCGGTACTGGCAGCACAGGCCTGCGCCGGGCCAGCCCGGGCGGCAGCCAGAAACCCACCCGCAAACTCCCGCCGGGACTGGGACCGCGTCCCGCCGCGCACCAGCGTCCCGCCCGGGCCCCTGCCCGTGTCCTTACCCGGCGCGAAGCCGTCGGCTCGCGGCCGCCGGGGCTGGGCAGCGGGGCCGCCTCCGCCTCCGCCTCCTCCTGCTCCCGGGCGGGCGCCCTCAGCCTTCCGCCCCCAGGATCGCCATCTCGCAGCAGGCGTCGGCCCCGGCAGCCCAGGCCGCCCGCAGCCACTCGGAACCCGCACGCCGCGGCGCCGGCACCCGACCCTCCCCCCACCCCACCCCGGCCACGCGCCACCCCCAGTCCACCCCACGCCTCCCCTCCTCGGGAGCGCGCCGCGTGCCCACGACGCCGGCGCCGCGCCCCGAGCGCGCGCCCCCCGGCCGGCCGCCTGCCCGTCCCGGCACCGCGCGCTGCGCTGCGCCGCGGCCGCCCGAAGCCTCCAACTCCGGACCCGGAATCCGGCTTCCCGCGAGCATGCGCAGCGAGAGCGCACCGAGGCTGCCTTTGGAAACTCCGCTCCTCCGGGTCTTCGGAGTGGTCGAGGGGAGGACCAGCCAATAGGAGAGGGGGGCGGGGCCTGAACTGTGGGAGGGGCGGGGCCCTCGCTGAGCTTTGGGCAGAGGTTTCTCTAAACTCTTGCTCTGCACTTTGCTGACTTGACTTTCCGGTCCGCAGCGGAACCCTGTACGTGACCTCGGTGACGATCCTCCGAGACCTGGTGTTCTTTTCTCCAACGCTGAACAGCCAAAGCCGGCTGTTAATAAATACTCCTTGACCTAGCTTCCTTAGTATTTGACTTAGTATGCATTGCAAGAGTAAATAATTGCACTTAGCACGTGGTCTCACCGGACTTGCAGTCCATTGTTATTAATGATCAAATTGTTCATTCCCTGCGACTGTATCAGCCTAAAGCTAAAGCTGATACTTAGGGACCAAGTTCTTGTATCAGCACAGTTAATCCACGCAACACCCCCATAAAAGTGTCTGTTAGCTCCACAGTACAATTGAGTCAGCTGGTTTAGAGAAGTTCTGTTGGTAATTTGTAAGGCTTTTGGAAGAAAAACCACCTGCAAATAGAGATCAGTAATGACCACACAACATTCCAAATGACCTCATATTCTCCTTAAGAGAACTAAAAAAGATCTTCAGACATAGAGTTCAACTTTATCCCAAATATCTCACTCAGCACCCAAGAATTACCTACATCCACCTCCAAGCTTACTACTAGTCCTTCTGTCTGAGGCTAGGTGTCTTCACTCCTTTCCAAAGCTAACTTTCTACTGTCTGCTTCTTCCTGTAAGCCCCTTTTTGGGGCTTACATCTTCTTAACTTCACGCTTTCTACTGGCTATAACTTCTCAGCATAACCATGTCTTAAGACTTCATGTTCTAAATTTTCCCTTAACCTGTAAGCTCCTTTCTCATTCCATTTCTTCTTATATCGTAACTAAACTTTTGGAAAGAATTGCTTATCAAGAACATCCCGATACTCCGTGAATGTGTAGGATTCAAGTGATAACTCTTAGCTGAACAAATGTACATGCCCTTCTGCTCCAGAGCATCAGTTCCTGCCCTCTGACTTGTCACTGACCTGTAGAGCATGTGCATAAACACATGATCTACAAAGATCATTCTAAAACAGACACCTCAGAATGTCACTGCACTGATTCAGATCACCCCTTGTGCCTTCTGAGCTTTTGTGACAGATTAATATGATATTCAAGGCCACTTTCATGTTCACCTGCTCTGGTTCTCCTGCTTAAAAAAAAGAAAAGAAAAAACCTTGACATTTCCTTGAATGTGCTCGCTCATGTCTGTGCTTAAACAAAGGTTATTCCTCTAAGTTTTCCCCCACCTTTAGGCAGTCAGATCACTTTATATAAATGCAACACTGTTTACAAACAGTGCCGCCCCCCCCACCAACAACTTCGCATTCATCCCCAACCCCAGAGTTTGTGCAGTCCCATTTTCTGCTTCCTGCTGTGGGGTGTCTCACTGTCAGCAGTCACAATTGCCATTTCCTTCTCAGTACTGTTAAAAAAAACCTCCTAATATTCTACTAGCCCCCTAAATCGACACCTAATATGGAATATTTTTACTATTGAACATTTCTGTCTTCAGATGAACACTTTTATACATATACTTGCACAAATCATTGTCTATTTCCTTACTATTTAGGTTAAATCCTTAAAAATAATCAAAGGTTGTGAACAAGCTCAGCCCTTTTGAAGCACATTGGCAATTTGCCCTACAGGAAAATTTCAGGCTTAGTTAACAGATTGGGTGAGCTTGGTCACTGCATTCTTTAATTGCCTTAAACACTTTTACCTGTGCAATCCTCTTCCTCCATAAAGTAATATTATAAACCATATCCTCTAACTGGATTGGCATAAAAACAAAAGTATTGACATTAGATAATAAAATCTTTTCTTTAACTGAAGCGTATAACTCCCCCTTCTGATTCTAAAAGAAATGAAGTGGTTTTGTGGGCTCTAAACTATAGTGGGCCTCAGGCATTGTGCCTAAGATGCCTGCTGGGTAAACTGACCCTGCTGCTACCTATGAACTATGAGATTTGGCTGAGTTGCTTAATCTGATTGTGCCTCAGGTAGAAAATTGATATGGTGTTATGATGCAGTGTTGTAGTAAAAAGTAAATGATTTGCTATAAGTAAAATATTTTAGCTAATGCACAAAAATGGTACATAGTCTAAGTTTTACTGTTGCTATCATTGTCATTATCAGTTTTTCCAAAGCAGTATATAAGTAAATGTGCTTCACTATGTTCAAGTGATCATGGTGTAGTTTCATTTGAGTAAACAGGGTATCTTATTATTGGCTCATCATTGTCCATCTCCTTCCTGCAGTATTCACGAAACTTCATATAATGTAGATTTTGATCCTGTGGGTCTTTTACTTTCTCTCTCTCTTTCTCTCTCTGTATGTGCATTTTTACTGCATAGATCCTTTTCCATCCAAGATCATAGAATTTATCTGCCTTTTATTTTTTCTACTTGTTGGGAAATTCTCTTTTCATTTAATAATTTAATCCTTTGTGATTTATTTTAGAGTGATAATGTTTTATTCTTTATAAATAACTAATGGCATTCCACAGTCTATTTTTTAAGGAAACTTTGTCTAACTATAATGGTCTTAAAACATGCCCATAATTCATTGATACTCCTTCCTTCACAAATTGGAGGGAATTATCTTCCCAGGAGGTGTGGGTTATGGTTACTGAGTTGGTTCAATAAGGCAGAACTGACACTCCCCAGCCTAGGTCATGAAAAACATCATGGCTCCTCTTCACTCTCTTTCATCACCAGCAGCTGGCAATTGATAAGGCCACGTCAAGCAGCCCTATGAAGAGGCCCACAGAGCAAGGAGCTTATGTGTCTTATTAACAATTGGCAAGGGCCTGCAAGAGTACCACGTGACAGAAGTGGATCTTTCAGCCTAAATCAAGCCTTCAGATGACTACAACCTCACCAGATACTTGAACTAGGACCACCCATTCCTAACCAATAGAAACTGTGAGCCATGTTCATGGTTTTATGCCATTATATTTTGGGATTAATTTGTTATCCAGCAATAAGGAACATATATGAGTATCAAGTAGTTCTCAATCTGAGAAAATTTAGCATCCCAGGGGAATTTGAATATGTCTCCAAGACATTTTTTTTTTTTTGTGGTGGTGGTTGGGAGGGTGACATCAAGTGGACAGAGGCTAAAAATGATGTTCATCACCATGTGCACAAGACAGACTCCCATCTCCATTCAAGCAACAAAGAATTACCAAGTCTAGCAGCATTAGTGCTCATGAAACTGCACCGACCCGTTCTACTTTCCTCTGCACCTTAAGAGTTTCCTCTTTCACATGTGCTGTGAAAAAGGTGGAATTTGCAGTCACATCCATTTCTTACTTGGATTTTCCTTCACCTATTTCTTCATCCTCCTTTTTCTTTTCACACTCTGCTGCTCTTCAAAACCTGAGATCCGCAGACCACAGCACCACTTGGGATAGCCTGTTACATTCTTCAGGACTCCTTTGAAGTGGTGAAATCAACATGAGATAGATAGGCCTGCACTCTCTTGATGGTCCTCTCTTCTGCTTACCTTTCTCAAGTAAGTCAAAAAGTTATCAAATATATTAACTTGTGTTTGGTAATAATTTAAAGCAATTATATCTTATGAAGCAAATTATTTTTGGCAATTGTATTATAGCTGTGTAGAGAACCAGCATCAATAAAATATATACATAAAAATGTAGATTTACTAGGAGATTAGTTAACATACCACAGAGGTTTGAAAGTTCCGCGATGACCTTCTCCAAGCTAAAGAGCCAGAAAAGCCAGCAGTGATAACTCAATCCGAGAGGCTAAAAGCCTGGGGACAAGAAAGACCTATAAAATGGCCTCCAGTAAGGGGTCAAGCCTGAACTTTCAGAGGGCTGCTGGGGCAAGACCCAGAGGTCAAAGAACCTGGTGTCTGATGTTCAAGGGCAATAGCATGTCAGCTCAGGGAGGAACAACCACGGAGAGTTTTACATTTGTGTTTCCTCTTCCATCTTCTCACAGCTCATTGCAGGATTACTTCCCACATTCAGGGAAGCTCTCTCCCACTCCACTCCCTGTCCCACATGCACTCTTCTGTGCCAACATCCTCAAAGGTGCGATCAATAGTAGGGATTTGCAACTTGGACAGGCATCCCTCATCCAGCCCTGTAGACATCAACGTTAACCATCAGAGCGCTACTCTGTTTAAGATGATGACCTAATTACTATCTACATACATTATAATAACCTAATTTAAATGGTATCTGTCAGTGAATTCTACTAAATTAACATGTAGAGGTAACTACCACCAGCATTATGACATAAATCATTTCCAACACTATCAAAAGCACCCGTTAGGTTTCCCTGTCCCCAGCTACTTATGGTTCTAGGCAATTATTGATTTGCTTCCAATCATTATAGAATAACTTTAATTTTTAATAATTTGACATAAATAGATTCATTCATTCAGCATGTATGCTTTTGTGTCTGTTTCAGCTCAGTGTATTTTATAAACTCATTAATAGTCATTCATATTATTATGCTGTCAAGTAATATTCTACAACATAAATTTGCT